TTGATTTTAATTGGCCGAAAAATAAGAACACTTAGCCTCGGCAAAATTGCTCTGGTTCTTATAAAAGAAAAAAAAAGGTTGTAGACTTATTAGTATATTATGTTATTACGTTTATTGAAGCATTGAATAACACTTGTTTCCTAATTATTACTTGCACAATTTAAAATATATTATTTCTCCCGATTGAACCTATAGGCCTAACTATTAAAAAAAAAATTCATACAACCACTGGACTGGAATTAGGAATGGTTGACAACAGATTTAATTCGCTTGGTATTATATGATTGTAATTGAAACAAATCCTTGTTTATTTTCGAATTCAATTTCATTATAGTAATGATAATAATAATAAACACAATTGTATAGGCTACTGCTTGGATGTGTGGCGTATTGGTAGACTACTCAAAGAAGCAAGAAACACAGAATTTTCATAGGGCCTATATTTTTTCTACTGTAGAACAATCTGACCAGTTTCAGCCGCGTCAAAACATGGTACGTCATAAAGGCTACGTCATAATTCCCGTATCTGATTGGCTGCTTCTTACGATTTCTGGTCCATATTGCTACGTCTCTTGGAGTCAACTTTCGTAAGAGACGTAACACAAGGCAACGCAAGCATAAGTCACTGAATCGCGGTTTCCTGTCAAATCGTGGAAAATCGACGTATCTCATGAAAATTCAATACGACGGTTTCCTGTCCAACATTGCTTTGCGATGATTTAACCTTACGTTACATCGATTTCACAACGCACCAATCGCAATCGGTTTCCTGTCAAATCGCATTTTGTTACGATAAAACGACGTAGTCGTAAGTAAATCTGCCTTCTTACGTCGACAGGAAACCAGGCTGACTTACGTACCAAGCGTGCGAGCTAGTGCGAGTGAAGCTGTTGTTGAGTGCGAGTGGTAAATGGAAGGGTTGAAAGCTATAAAGACAGAAAAAGATAACTTAATGACATATTATAATGTGAGACTGCGGTACCGTACGTTATATTTATGACTAGCCTAGACGTCCAGTATCTAGCCTTGATCTAGCGGTAGCCGATCATTTCGGTCGCGCTTCGTTTCGGTCGCGCTTTGTTTCGGTCGCGCTTCGTTTCGGTCGCGGTATATTTCGAACAAATATATGGAGCGCCGAAGGAGTTGCGAAAACGAAAAATTTAATATGCCTAGGCCCTATATATTTTAGTTCGTGAATCGGTTTATCATAGGCCTAAATATTATTGTTTTGTTATCTTTCCACTAACAAAATATCTTTCTGCTATATTCTCTTTCTTCCATTTACGGTGATATATTCATGATTGCAATTGATCTTGTAATTGAAACAATGGAATTTAGTATGTGCTTCATGCTATTCTTTTTGTTGCGTTTTCATATACTATACTTTAATAAATGGTCAATGAAATGTATCTTTGATTTTAATTGAATTGAATATTGTTACCATCTGAAATCTATTTCATAATTTAGTTAAAACAATAATCATTCAATATTTAAGCTGATCATTTTATACAATATATATATTTTTCTTGCAGCTTCCAGAGTTTGGATAAAAAATACCAAGAGAATTGAAGGAAACACGAAGAAATAAACGAATAATACACACATTATCATTCACTTGAAATCTTGAA